ATGTTCAGTGACTTCATATGACATGTATTTACCAACTCTCAACTTGTCCAAATCACGCTGAAGCATCTCTGCATTGTCCACCCAGTTTTGTCATCTGCAAACTTGGAGGTATTGCATATATTCCTCCAAATTTAAATCATTAATGTATTAGTGAATAGCTGGGGTCCAAGAACTTGACTTGTGGGGTGCCACAGAGTTATTATCTGATAATCTCTTATGGGACCTGATTTTTAAAAAAATCTTGATTCTTGAAATATCCTGAAATGCGATGAACTTTGACCAAATGTCTTTTCAACAATATTCAAGTTTCCACATTTTCATAAAACCATTAGATGTATAAACAAGAGTAGCCCATTTGGCTGGGGGTCCGCTCTGCCATTCAGTGAGATCATGGCTGATCTGATGATTCTCAGCTCCACTTTATTGCCTTATCTGTAACACTTGATTCCTTTGAATAGACATCTATCTCTCAAAACACTTAATGACCAGCCTTTACAATCCCTTATGTTAAAAGTCCATAGATTTACTACACTAAGAAGAAATTCATGTTCTTCTCAAATGGCTGACCACTTTCAATATGGTGGAATCATAGCTGTCTGCATCATAGAAAAAGGACCTTTAGCCTATTGAGTCTGTTGGTCAGAATGAAGCACCTAACTATTCTAATGGCATCTTCCAGCACTTGTCAAGGCATACAAGGCTGTGGCCCACTTCAAATGAGCATCTAATTACTGAAGAGTTGAGGTTCTGCCTGTACTGCCCTTGTAGACAGAATTCCACATTCCCACCATCCTCTAGATGAGAGGTTTTCCTGACATTCCCTCTCAACCTCTTGCCTTTACCTTTATGTATGCCTCTGGTCCCCAAAGGGAGAAGTTCCTTCCTGTCTGCCTTATCCATGCCCCTTTAAAATTTAATAGATCCCAATTTCTTTCTCCTCTGCTCCAGGGAAACCACCTCAGTCTACCCACAATTCTTTTGTAACCAGAACTCCAGCCCAAGCAACATCCTGGTAAATTTTTTTGCATGCTTTCCAGTGTAATCATATCCCTTCTTTCAGGTAAAGTTGCCATAGTCCCAGAGGGCTGCTCTCAATAGAGCTGACTTGGTGGTTTTGCTTCACCCCTTCGGTGTGGGGACAGTTTGAGAAGGAGATTCCTTCGTGGTAACCTCAGGTGGTGTGGGAGTTGACCCCATGCTGTTCACATCACTTGCAATGAAAACCAACCATCCAGCCAACTGAGTTCATTGATCCTTTTATTTGGATTCCAGAAATGCACAGAATACTCTAGCTATGGTCTACCTCATTTTAATAGTCCCAGCATAAAGAGGATCATTGATTAAGATTAACTCTATCCTATATTTGAATTCAGAATCTGATAACTGTGAATCCACTGTTGATTGTCAGAAAAACACCGTCTGGCTCACTAATGCCCTTTTTAGGGAGGGGAAACAGCCATCCTTAACCAGTCTGGCCTGCAGACGCATAGCAGTGTAGTTGACTCCTAATGTTAGGGGTTGGAAGCATGCCCCCATTCTGAGAGAATTTAAAATAAAAATTAAAAAAAATCCTGTCTTTCTCCCCATGTTCTTTTTGAAGCCTTTGATAATTCAAAAGCAAAAACTTCCTTGAATATGTTCCATGACTTGGACTCCAGCCTTCTGTGTAGAAAATTCCATGGATTCACCACTCATCTCTCTTCCCTATTGCCTCCTGAACATGGTTGCTACTTTTTATGATTCATGCTCGTACCCACAGATGTCTCTGTACTGTAGCTTTCTGCAGCCTGTACCTATTTAGCTCTTCCTGCTAAATTGCATAACCTCCCATTTTTCCCAAATTATATTCCATCAGTCAAGTGTTTTTTTGTTCCCAAAAACCTAGCTTGTCTGTCTCACCATAGACTTCTCATGTCATGCTCACTACAAGCCTTCCCATCTATTTTGTCATCTGCAGACTTGCTGATACTACACTTACTTCTCTTATCCAAGTCATTGTGAGTAATCATGGTCGTGGCACTGATCCCTGTGGCACTCTATTAATTACAGTTATAGAGATGTTTGGGCTTGTGCTCCATGGAATTTAGGAGGAAAATGCCATGTTGAGAGGAAAATGCCATGTTGAAAGGAAAATACTACTTTCCCTGCCTTGCAGCGTCTAGAACCAGAAGATGGAATCTCAGGATACAGGTTAGGACTGATAACAGGAAACATTTCTTTACACAGGGTAATGAATAGTGGCTAGCACTGAGGCCTTGCAGCACCAGATACCTGGATTCAAAGTCCACATAAGTTTTCACATTCTCACCATATCTGCATGGCTTTCTGCTGGGTGCTCCAGTTTCCTCCCATGGTCCAGACATGCAGGTTTGGTGGATTGGCAATGCTGAAACTGTTTGTAGTGTCCTGGGATGTGCAGGCTGGGTGGATTAACCAGGGTAAATGAACAGTTATGGGAATAGGGAGTGGGGGTGGAAATGGATGGGATGATCTTTGGAGAGTCAATGAAGACTCCATGAACTGAATGGCCTCTTGTGCACTGTAGTGATTTTAAGATTCTATGAATCTGTGGACATCTGAAAATTCCCACTTATCTCAATTGGATCTTCTATTAGTTAGCCAATCCTCCATGTTATTCTACTACTCAACTATTATCTTTACTTATAAGCCCTTGGCTTATTAAATAGACTTGTCAAGCCTTTGGAAGTGCAAATGTATTAAGTCTACAGGTTTTCTCTTATCTATGCTGCTTGTTACCACTCAAATAACGCTAATAAATTTGTTAGACATGATTCCCTCTTCATAAAGATGAGCTGACTCTGCTTGATTTTTATGTATTTAAGTGCCCTGTGATTGTATTGTTTAGATCAACTGTAGCAATTTCCCAGTGACAGATGTTAAGCTAATTGGCCTAGTTATGTTTTTGTTTAGTCTTCCCTTCCCTCTCCCTCTTGAATAAGGGGGTTAACTTTGATTTACCTTGGAGGTTCTACTTTTTAATTTAGCTCTTCAATTTTTTTTAGCAGAATCTTCCTTCCATGTTGGGTACAGATAATATAGGACAAAAATAATTGGATCCTTTTCAAGTTCCCCTGTAACTTTTCAATGTCCTTAACCCTCACCAGGCAAGCAACCTTTTTTGAGTCATGCTCTTAGCTACAGAGAAAAGTATAGTTATTTTCATCTTAACCCCCCAGCTCTACTGCCTTCCATCACTGTACGTACTTTCTCCTTGCATTTGAATGCTTTCCTGTTCCACGGTCAGTTTGCTTATCCCTGCACCCCTCACAATCATTCACGCAGCTTGCAACAAGTCACAACTCTTGAACAATTGCAGGGACGGTGGCTGTCCCTTGAGTCCCCATACTTGCCTCACCTACAATCAGACCAACCTATTATCATAGACCAAGTTTGAATGACCTAATCTAAGTGGTGTGACCACCTCTTGGAGCAAAGTATCCAGGTAACTTTCCCTTTGCTGAAGTGGCACAGCATGTGAGCTCAGACTAGCTCCTCTAATCTGAAGTTGCCGAAGCTGCAAACATTTGCTACAGATGTGCTTGCTGTGGGCTACCTTATGTCCAGCATCTCCTATGTTACAGCTGTAACATTACCTGATTTGCTATCTAGAATATTTCAGTCAAGAATTCAGTAACGTTGTTTTCTACACTTGTAGAATTCCCACTTTGAACAGTTTGCTGTATTTCTCCTTGATATACAGTAATATCAATCTTTTACTAAACAAGATTTTTGTAAGAAAAGGGATGAAAAGAAATACAGGATCTAGACAGAAACTTGCCTTTACATTTTAAAAACTTGAAATGCTCACCAATAAGCTAAATATTGTTAGTAAAAACCAAACTTTTTTTTCCCTTCCACTGAACTCACGATCAACTCCAGACTTTAGCTCCCTGTAAAGTGGCAACACAAGTGGATAATGTGGCAAAGAAGGCTTATGGCATACTTGCCTTCATTGCTCAGAACTGAGTATAAAAGTTGGCAAGTCATGTTGCAGCTGGAGTAGTGTGTGCAAGTTCTGGTCCAAGGAGAGGTTGGACAAACTTGGCTTGTTTTCACTTGAGTATTGAAGATTGCTCCTCAACCTAAGAGTACAAAATTAAGAGCTGTGGATAGTCTGTTGTATTGCTCGGATGAAAATGCCAAATAATAGGGGGTAGATACCAAAATACTAGCTTTAAGGTGAGAGGGGAAGAGTTTAAAGATGTGAGGCATCTTTTCATACAGGGTGATAGGTGTCTGTAACGTGCTGCCAGAGGAAATGGTAGAAGCAGATATAATAGAAATGTTTGAGGCATGTTGATAGATATGAACAGGCAGAGAATAGAAGGGTACAGACCATGTGCAGGCAAATAGGATTAGTTTAGAATTGCATCAAGGTCAGCACAGATACGGTGGACTGAGTGGCCTGTTCTACGTTTTTCAGTTCAACTAATTGTACTTTCTTTCAAACAAAATGTTATTGATAACATGCACAATGCACAACTTACTGCACAAATCACGAAATCAACAATGGAACAGCTTCCACTCAAATAGTGTGACTTGAGGACCTACTTTTTGTTGTGCATGCTAATAATATGGAGAAAGAGGCTTGATAAAACATTGGAAAAAGGTAAGGAACATGTATGCCATAGCATTTGCTGGATGAGCAGGTGTCTAGAACTTCAATTTATGCAAATTAGCATGTTTTTAAAATTCTGTAGTTGCAAACTTTTTTTGAGCAAATTTAAATTTCAAGGGGTGCCTAGAAAGAGCAGTCAAATTAAGAACTGGTGAAATGATTGTCAAAAAAAACCCATCTGGTCCATTGCCATCCTTCCTTTCCTTGCCTTGCCTGGCCTATGACTCCAGATCCCCAGCAATGTAATTGACTTTGACTCTGACTCTGAACTGCACTCTGGGTAATTAGGGATAGACAATATGTCTAGCTAGTGATCCCCTCATCCTATGAGTCAAAGATGTTCATTAAGCAAGTCAGCTAGACCCTTTTGAGTGTACATTATAGTTTGTCCAACCTCTCTTCGAGCTAATACACTCCAATTCGGGCAACAACCTGGTAAAACTCTTGCACCCCCTCTAAAGCCTCCACATCCTTCCTATAGCATGGTGACCAGTACATACTATGCTAAATGTGGCCTAACTAAAGTCTTCTACAAATACAAAAACAAAGCTGCTGGAAAAGCTCAGCGGGTCTGGCAGCATCTGTGAAGGAAAATAGAGTTAACATTTCGGGTCTGTTCTGAGGAAAGGTTACCAGACCCGAAATGTTAACTCTGTTTTCCTTCACAGATGCTGCCAGACCCGCTAAGCTTTTCCAGCAGCTTTGTTTTTGTTCCTGATTTACAGCATCCGCAGTTCTTTCGGTTTTTCTTCTACAGATATGCATGACTTGCCAACATCTGCACTCAGTGCCCCAACTGATGATAACAAGTATGCCTTAAGCTACCTTATGCTACCTTTATCCACTTGTGTTGCTATTTTCAGGGAGCTAGATCCCTCTAATATCAATGCACCTAAGGGTATTCCATTCCTCTTGCATTTGATCTCCCAAAATGCACCACCTCACTCTTGTCCAGATTAAACTCCATCTACCGTTTCTCCACCTAACTTTCCAACTGGTCTGTATCCTTTTGATAGCCTTCCTGACTTTCCACAACACCAAATTTTGTCATCTCAATTTACTAATTGGACCACCTACCTTTTCATCCAAGTCTTTTTTTTTTTAAATTGAGATCCCCAACAGATCCTTTCAGAGCATAACTGATCACAGACTCCAGTCAGAAGAAGGCTCTAGGCCCGAAACGTCAGCTTTCCTGCTCCTCTGATGCTGCTCTGCCTGCTGTGTTCATCCAGCTCTACACCTTGTTATCTCAGATTCTCCAGCATCGGCAGTTCCTACTACCCCAGAGCTATCCTCTCTTCTATGGTCACGCCAACTTTTTTTTTTCTTTTGCATCCCCTTACTGACTCCATGAATCCCCTGTGACTTAATCTTCTGGGCCCCTCCTGGTAGGCTGGTCTTTGTCAATACATTAATGTCCACATAGATGACATCCACTACTGTACCCTGATCAATAATTGATTTTTTTTAAAGCAAGCAATGGCAATCAAGTTGAGACAAGACTGACCCACCATAAAGCTATGCTGACCATCCCTAATGTCCATTTTTCTCAATGCGAGTAAATCTTGTCTCTAAGAATCCTCTCCAATAGTTTCCTACCACTAAACTTGCTTGTATATAATGTTCTAGATTATCCCTGTTGCCCTTAAAGGAACAAAATAGGCTATTCTCCAATCTTTTAGGACTTTGTGGCTTTGCAGCTTCCTATCCCAGGATGCTGAAGGAAGCAGGGAGATCTCATCAGGCACAATCTTGAAGGCCTGTGGTCAATCCAAGATTAGGTCTCCTAATTTATGCAAGTAATTTAGGGTGAATGGCTGGCATCTATTGCAACTTATTAAATTCTTGCAGGATATATCCAGATTTACAGTACCAAGGTTGGTAGACTGAATTAAGGTACAGATCAGTCACAATCCAATTGAATGGCTTGCTCCAGTTCTCATTTTTAAAAATATCTGCTTTGTTGGCAGATGCTTAGCCTCCATGCTCTGTCTGAAGTAGACACCTGAATAGTTTTAAGTTGACAGATGCTTTTTGCTTGCTCTTACAAAAAGCAAGAGACCACTGTCGGATTAATTAGCTTTTGAGTTGTCGTTTCTCTGTATATTGGTTAATATTTGTCTGCCATTTAACACTGTTTCATTTTGGTCAAGATATTGCTAATGTACATCTGTTTTTCTTAATAAATTATATTGGCTCAGGCAGCATCCATGCAGTGAATGAAGTTTGAGGTTGGATATTTTTTAAACTTATCGGATTAGTTATCAGACTGTCTGCATAATTCACTGGTTTGAAAACCAGTTATGATTGTAAACAGTAAATCTGTTTCTGAACCTCCATTACTCCTAAAGAGAACAACACTATCTACTCTAGTCTCCAAGGACATTTGAAAGTCTACTCTGGTTCCATTCTAGCGAAACTTCAAAGTCTTGTCATTCTTGAACATCACACCTAGAATTGAACACAATATGTTAGCTGCTGCCTAACTATCCAATCAAAGATTGGAATGACTTTCTTAGATTCTATTGCTTGATTAAAAACAGTTTGAATTTTTTTTACTGTTGTCTTGCCTTGTCATCTAAGGTTTGTGTGCATAAATTCCCAAATCTTTTTCTGCACTTAAATTGTGTATATTTTTGTTTGTTTGTGCTCCTTTCCATGCTTCCCATAAACTATATCACTTTACGCTTTCCATTGTTACCTGTCTATAAAGTCTGTTATGATCCTTGTTCATTAGAACTAAGTTTTTTTCATTTGAAAACAATATTTGCTGAATCCAAGTATGGGTCAACAGTATGAAATAGTCACTGGCCCTCGTGCTGACTTTTTGAGGAACACCATTATATTCCTCCATCCAGTTTTTAAAGTTTTCAATACTATTTTGCCTTGTGTGCTTTAGCAATTTTGCTGCTTCCTTTAAGTACATGGTTTAGTTTTGCTGCCTGGTCAGCATACAAGACATTCAGAAGTATCATGACCATATACTAATTTCACTATCCTCCTCACCTGTCCAATTTGTGCAGCTTCACACATGTGTGTAATCTAAGATACAAGAGACATATGCATCTAAGACATTTTGTTACTGAACCAAGTTCTTCTTTGAAGAGATTGCAAAGAGGTTTCTGTGCTACAGCTGTACACAACCATTTCAACATGTGGATTGTGTTTTTCTTAAGAGGTTTGGGTTGTTGGTGTATATTTTGTGGCGGGGGGTGTGGAGAAACCTTGGTGCAATCATGATTTCTGTTTTCATTTGCAGATGGGGACCCAGATAACTATGTTGCCTATTATAGGCGAGCCACAGTCTATCTGGCTATGGGTAAATCAAAATCTGCTCTCCCAGACCTGAGTAAAGTTATTGAACTGAAACCAGACTTCACGTCTGTAAGTAACATTCTATGACATTCTTATTACTTCTGTTGAACAGCAAGGTGGCCTTGCACAGAATTGTGCTGATGGTAATGCCATATGTTTTGGATAAATAGAAATGATCTTTGTTATATTTAGGCTAGGTTACAGAGGGGAAATTTGCTGCTAAAACAAGGGAAATTGGATGAAGCAGAACACGACTTCAAGAAAGTGGTAAGTTTGTACAAATATAGACCAAGTTGCTTTTTGGCTTTAAATTGGTAATCTTGATTTTAGAACTTCTACACCACTGACCACATTCATACCAGTTTAAGAACTCTGGAGCAGAAATGCTCAGTTGGCCTCTGCACAGCATTTCATCCCTGTCACCCAAGCATGGAACAGTTCAGATGTGTTTTTTTAACTTGCTAGCAAAACCCCTTTTTTTGAGATTAAAGTTAAAATAAACTGCATTTACAGTGCCTTTCACCACCACTGCATCTCAAGTTTGAAGATAACTGCTTAATTTATAAAGTACAGTCATTGCTTTACTTAAAACAAAATGTTTCAGCCAATTTTTACATGGCAAGGTTCCGAAAATAACTGCTAAATTAGCGGTGTTTTTGTTTTGCTATTTGAGGAGTAAATGCCAGCAGGATTCTCTCGCTCCCTTCCTCCTCAGATACTGTTATGTCACTTGAATTGTATGCAATTATTGTGAGTGTCTCTTTCTTCATTGGAATACTTTTTTAGAAAATCTACACCATGGGCAATTCTAGTTGTGCTCTCGTCTCAATTCTGAGACAGGAGTGCTACTATTAGGCCAAGGCTGGTGTATTGACCAAATTTAGAGGTGATATTTTAAAGATGCTTTAGTGCTTTTTCTCTCTCCAGGAAGTATCCTAGTTTGATAAGTATGGAGGGTGAAAACTTGATTACAAAACCTCTAAAAATCATACAACCTTTGAAAGTCCCTGGAACCACCTTTTAAAAGTCCTACACTGTTTAACGTCTTGCACCACTTGTAAAGATTGAATCTGTCAGAGTGCAATCTCTTTTTCTTTCTACTACCTTGTAATTAATTAATGGCTCATGCACAAATACTCTGCATGCTGAAGAATTTAACAACAAAATTTTCTTCTAGCTCTTCCGCCAGTGTTTACTTTCAGTCTCTGCCTGGTTACAAAACTTGATGGAAGTCACAAGTAGTGTTAGAATTTTGTCCCATGCAGTTGCAGTTCTTTATCCAAGTCCAAAAAGCTTGATTTTAGAAAGGATTTTGTATTCAAGATGACCTACTAATTTTGTTTAATGCTTCAAATTAGCAAATTATTGATTATGGGTGCTGATTATCTGAATTGAATCCTGTACTTCACAACATCTTGACCTGCCAGTGAAATCCAGTTCTCGTGTCCACATAACATCGTGAAGGCCTGCGACATTAGCTATGACATAGATGGATGCTGGTCCTATAAAGTGACTTGTATATGGTTCCTAAGCAGGCTTTTTGAATGACTAGCCCTAGACGTTGAGTGATCTATATTAGATACCAGGTTTTTGTCTTGTCTTTAAAATACTTAGGTCACTATTATAAATTAAATGGAACACAGTTTGATGTTAGAATATGGTTCATTATATAAACCTTATAACCTTAGTTTTTTTTATACCTGTTCACAAACAAGACAGACCAATCAACAGTTGAGGGATAATTTTTTGACTAAAGAAAAATAACAATTGGCCAGATTATTTAAGCGGCTTTTGTAATGTGTTTCATAAAGACATAGGATATCTCTTGATTTTGTTTTTCCTGGAGGTGTTGGTCAGTGTTACTTTTTTCATTTCAGAGGTTCAGTAATATTTGTAACTTAATTTCTCATCACTGAACTTCCAGTAACTTTCTTACAATGGGAGGTTAGACAGAGATTTCAAATCTTCATTCTGGAGCATCAACAATCGAATCCCACCCACGCCACAGTTCACAAAAAAACTCCTGTTCCTCTTTGATAGTGTTCTCTTCCAGACTTGCTGACACCAGTTCCCAGCTACTCATCTTAATAGTGAAACATCTCTCTGGTTAAGCATAAAGCCTCTCCAGATTCACAGTACCTGCAGAGTACTTTTTTAAAGAGCAATCTTGAATTGACTTTCAGGCCTGGCTTCAAACAAATAGCTTGTTTGTTTTATTTTATAACACCAGCTGCTGCTCACAGTCCACAGGTCATCTTTCAGGTTTCTGTTCACAGTTCACCTCTCCAAACAAAAAAGGATTTTAAAAAAATCAATGGTTCTAATAATGATGGTTCTGCTTAAAATTTGTTAGAACATCAACTTGGGGGTGGTGTGGATCTGAATGTAGAGAGAGTAGATATGCTAATAAACCAGATGTTTAACTTGGCATTGTATAAGTGTCTCTATTTTAGATTTCCTTTGGTTCTGATGTTATAATGGAAACCAGAGCACTGGATTTTAATGACACCGGTAACACTTGGGTTTAGGGCATCAGATTATTATTTTTATTAAAACCATTTTAGATGCTGATAACAGATCACAAATCTGTAATTAACTAGGTTATCATAGCCATGAACATCCAATGGTGCTGTGATTTCATCTACAAGGCCAATAAAGTTGAGACTGTAGACTTAATTTGGCTTTTGTGCATGCCTTAAAAGTAACAGGTTCTGCTGAAGAGTGCTAACTTTGGAGGCATTCCCCCAAGTTCGATTGTCTGACAGTCTCCTGCTCCTGTTAGGATCCTATCTGGTCCCCCTTGCCTATTGTGTCAATCAAGAAGATAATGCTGATCTGATTGTGGCCTTAAGTTGGATTTCCTGCTTGCTCTCCTTAAATCCTTGACTTCCTTGTAAATTTAATAAAGATCTGTTAAGTCTAAATTTTTTGCTGTTTGTGTTGAGTTAGTATATTCTCTGTCTGCATGGATTTGCTCAGGTTTCCTCCCACAGTCCACAGATGTGCAGGTTAGGTGGATTAGCCATGGGAAATGCAGGATTACAGGGATCGGTTAGTAGGGGTGGGTCTGGGTTGTATCCTCTTCAGAGAGTTGGTGTGGACTGGATGGGCCAAATGGCCTACTCCCTCACTGTTAGGAGTCCTCTGATTCTATGGCTCGAGCTGTGGAAGCTGGTTCATTGAATATATTCAAGGCTGAGTTAAATAGATTTCACAGCTCAGGTTTAAGGAAAAAAAGGCAAAGATTTGCAGTTTGTTGGAAAGTTCTCTGGTCTGTCTTCAATGAAAAACACTTTTTTTTTAAGACTACCCTAGTTGCAAATATGCCCCCCACCAAGGACAAACCTCCATTTCGGAGACAGTAGGAACTGCCGATGCTGGAGAATCTGAGATAACCAGGTGTAGAGCTGGATGAACACAGCAGGCCGAGGAGCAGGAAAGCTGACATTTTGGGTCTGGACCCTTCAGAAATGGGGAAGGGGAAGGGGATTCTGAAATAAGTGGGGGGGGGGGGGGAGTGGAAGGTGGATAAAGGAGCAGATGGGTGGAGCTCTAAACCTTGTTATCTCAAATCTCAGTTTGTGCTTTTTGTCATGTCTACTCAGAACTTGTGTATTTAAAAAGATCCCTTCTCAATCTTTTTAAAATCAGTATGAACTGATCCTGCTCAACCTTTCCTGTACTGCGAAAACGTCTTCTTTTAAGTGGCTATATGTTTTTTGTAAACAACCAACTACCTTGAAACCACATTATATCAAGTTGAATGTTATTACAGACTCAAGATTCGTCCGGTTCCTTGGACAACTGTTAGTCTGTGAGTACTCAGCAGCTTTTGGAACTTGGCCAAGCATCCCAAATTGCCACAGCTGATAACTGCAGAAGCTGAAATTTCAAAAACCAGTATCATCTTGATTTCAAAGCCGACCTGCCTGCTCATTAACAGAGGGGTGCAGGTGCTCTGATTGCTTTTACTGTTTTCAGCAAGGACAGTCTACACACTTTTTAAACTAGAATGCCAAATATGACCCAAGCAAACTTTCTACCTGTTTCTCTATTTCATTCAGAAATATAGAATTTTCTCTGAACAATGTACTGTAATGCATTGCAACACTTGCATAATGGTGGTAAATATAATGGTTAAGTTACCTTTCCTGGACAGAGCCTCATGATGGATCACTGCATTAAAAACATCCTTATTACAATATACCACCTAAGTGACATGTGACAATGTCCAAATATTTTGCACTTGGATTTGAACACCGGTTCCATAGTCCTCAGACCCTCCTGTGGTGCTGGACTTTGTCTAGAAAGTTGTATTTCTTCGGGGGGGGACTTGCATGAACGTGCAAAACTAGTGTGCAGTGCATTAATGTTTTAATCAAATTAAAGGCCTTCAGTTTGGAAGGCATTTGTTGAAGTTTGGTTGTTATTGTGCTTCAGCACTCATTTTTAAAATTGAATGCATTGCATATCAACTTTCCTACAAGCAGAAGGCTGGTGTAGGACAAGCTTCTTAAGATGAAGCAGTAGCATAAAATGTTTCATAGATATGTTGTAATACTGTGCAAATTGCTTTGCTTAATGCATCCAAAATGGTACAGATGTTTCTTTAAGATTTTTTTTTCCTTGCTTTTTAAATAAGCAAGTACTAATTTAATATTGGCCAACCAATAAATTCAGCAGTTATAATGGTAGGCAGGTATTCCAAAAGTGAGTTCAAATCCCACCATGGAAGCTTGTCAAATTGAAATAACAAATGTAGTAATTTGTGCTTCAGCTCAGGATGAAATGACAAAGCCATCAAATGATCATAACATCCACTTGTTCAGCAATGTCTTTTGGTTGGGGGAGAAAGGAAGAAATGATATACATGTAGTATAGGACTGTATCACAACAGTTTTAATGACCTCTGGGGAAAAATTAGATTTGGGTAATTATGACCACTTGAATTTCAGAGCTCTTTTTTTAAAAAAAAAAAGCACTTGGGGAAAACTGGGATCTTGAAGTTTCCATTATTTGATTCTCTTGATTGCAAGAGGAGCAAGTCTTGAGTATTTGATAGGGTCAGATATGCCAAGCAGATGTTTGTTCTTTTAATCGCACTTGACTGAATGCAGTTCTATGTACTGGAATGAGCAGCTAGCTTTATTTTAAATGCTTGATTTAATTGGAGGCTGGTTACCTTCAACTGATTCAAAGATATTTGAAGCTGGGCCAAAAATGCCATGAGACATTGTGGAAAGAAAGTTTTGTCTTTGAAAGAATTGTCCAGACTCTGTCTCCTTGTAGTACTTTTTATGACTGAGCCAAAACTTGTTCCCATTTTGAATTCAATTTAGAGTTCTAATTGTCTCAATCTTTCAAATCCTTGCCAAAATTGCATTTATTTGAGCACCGGTCTAAACTTGATGATACAGTAATACTTTGCTTCTTTCCACGGATGCAACTTGACCTGCTGAGCTTTTCCAGTGCTGATTTTTGTTTTTGTCCCTAAATGCCCCAAGAACTGAAACTGACCTTTCTGCACTATGCGTCATGCTATTGATCCTTGTTTTCCTATTATGTTCTCACTATCATGTGGTGCTGTTAATAACCCATAGAATACTAACTTTTGAAGTGCTGCCTTCTCTCAAATGCCTGAAACTGCCAGACCTCCAATAACTGTTTGGTACATATTAGCTGAGGTGACAAACGTTTTGGTCAGCCAAAAGAGGGCCATTGTATAGTTGTTAATATCACTGGATTATTCTTGCAGAAGTCCTGGCTGATTCTTTGGACATACGGCTTCAAATATCACTTCAACACCTGTTGAAATTAAAAATCAATTAAATCTGAACTTTATAAGCAAATCTGTGTTGACCCTGAATCAATTATAGAAATCCATCTGGTTAACCAATGTGCCTGTTCTGACTTGAGACTTCAGACCCATTAAAATGTGGTTGACTCCTACTGGTCCATTTCAGAAGACATTTAAGCCACTCTTTGCATCACACTAATCAAAGTAACGAAACCAGACAGATCACCTAATACTGACCTACACACTAGAAATGACCATGGCCAATCCACCTGTTGCGGATGTGTCTGTGATGGTATCAGTAGGAGTGACCACCACCAGTCCTTTTGGAGATGCAGTCGCATGTTCAGTGAGATATTCTTCATCTTATGTGGTACTACCAACTTGTTTAAATGGGATGAATTTAGAACAGACATAGATCAAGACTAGGAGACTGACACCCTTTGGACTGTCAGCTGTAGCAGATTTGTACTCTACTGCATTTGTAACTTTACGGTGGGATGTTTTTGGCATTCTCGAGCCAGGACATCAACCCTGCCTTAATGAAGAGTGCAGGCGATCTTACCGGGGCAGCACAAGACATACCTAAAAATTCAGCCCAATTAAATTGCAAGCTTAGATAATTTCTGAATAGTTTCTGATAATTTCTCATTTCTGAAGAAGGGTCTAGGCCTGAAACGTCAGCCTTCCTGCTCCTCTGCTGCTTGGCCTGCTGTGTTCATCCAGCTCTACACCTGGTTATCTCAGATTCTCCAGCATCTGCAGTTCCTACTATCTCTAAATTGCAAGCTTGACTAATTATAGAAACAGCATGCACTTGATAGCTAAGCAATCTTGCAACAAACAGTTTAGAGCTGCGTTTAAGAGTTGTTTTCATCCAACTGTGAGTAGGGGTGGACTGATTACACAACTGGAGGTGTCCAAGCATGCACGTTCTCAGTGATAGTGGACACCAGCACATCTGTGTAAAAGAGAAGTCTGAGGCATTTGCCAACATTTTCAGCCCAAAAGCTGTGGATAATCAAACTTGGCTCACTTTCAGCATGGTCATACAGACAAACTAGACAGGCCCAATGGCCCACTTCACCTATCTTTGTATTACTACCTTGTAGAATTTTGTGCTTTTTCAAGTTTGATGCTTTCGTTTAATTTCTTTAGTTAACAACACAAGGTGATGGCCTTCGAATTTTTTCATGTATATTCTGGAAATATCCCTTTCTAATATCTAAGTCTGTTTCTCTACTGATCTGTTCCCTAGCATAGAATCACCTTCACCTTTAGCTAGGTCTACTTCATGCCCAGATCTTTGCCCTTTTTTTAAAATTTAAAATATTAGGCATAACTTCTCCCTTTTTCAAACAAATTTAATTTTGCACATTTGAGGATGCCTTTGCTGAGGTTAATCACTTAGCCTTTCACATTATGCAATAGTGTCTTGTAAATGTGCTGTCTGGTTGATTTCCAGAATTTGCTGCTCTGACACGCTATAAGTATTTTGTGAACTCTTCATTCAAGCAACTGCTGCTAATCTGATTTTTCCAGTTTATAGCTAGGCTAAAATCATCTGTGACTACTGCGTTCCTTTATCACAAGCCAGTATTTCTGTTTATACTTAGTTTCATCCAATAGGTTTCTATCCTGGTTTAATGAATGAAGTTCATTTTAAAGACTGCATAAATGTCATTCTTGTCTGTGCTACACTTTCACCATTAGCTTCCTATTTAACATCATACACCCCTCAATTTTCAGCCAAGTCGTTCTAGCTGTCAGACATTACGCATTTACTTAATGGTGTGCTTATAAATTTGTTTACTTTGTTATGAATGCTTTGTGCGTTCAGATTCAAAACCTTTTCCTCTCTCATTACCCCTTTATTGCATTGGTCTGAGTGTGGACAAAGTTGAATTCAGGACTTGGGGGCAGAGTGACTGCCCTTGATGCCAAGGCAGCACTTCATAGTGTGGCACCAAGGAGTTCCAGCAAAATGAGTTAATGGGAACCAGTTTAAAAACCATCCACTGATTGGAGTCATACCTAATACAAAAGAATATGTCTTTGGTTATTGAAGGTCAGTTGCTTTAGTTCCATAGTATGAGCTCTAGTATCAACGATGATCTCTCTATTGTAAAGTCAGAGGTGGGGATGTTCACCGTTGATTGATGGTACTGATTGCACATCGACTTAATACTGTAGCAGTCCATGCCCAGGCTTCACTAGTAACATTTGTGCCACAGAGGTGACCGTTTCCAGCAAAAGAATCCAGTCTTCCACACTTGACCATTTTGTGATATTACTACTGCCGAATTCTCGACTTACCAGCCCCCTTGGCTTTACCTTTGACCACAACTGTCTACATGTGGTCGTCATGTAGAGACTGGGAATTCTATAGTGAGTAACTCCTCTAAAGTCCCTTTGATAGTGTGTTTATACCTTGATCTTAAAGTGTAGTGTCTCATCTCTCTCATGTGGTCATGCTCTACTAATTCATGCATTTTTGTTATTTTGAAATGTTCGGTTTAATATGCAGGCCATGCCCATTGGATAATAAAGATTTTGGGGGTGTTTACTTACTTGGTGGGGTGGGTGGAATGGGGATAAATGTAGGCCTTTTTAGAGGCTAGTGGTAACATCAAATGCTGTAATTTGTTTCTAATTTGCCTAATTCTGCAGATCGTATTCAATCTTCAGCAATAATGATGTATACTATTTACATAACTAAAGCCCCAGTTTAAATACTGAGGATTTGTTATGGTGGCTAATTTCAGTTTGAGACTGGCTAGTTCAAAAGTTCATGCTTCAGGGTATTTCAGCTCTGGTTTACTTAGCTCTTCCCTGAGTCCAATCCTATTCTGATCATAAATCAAGGTTGATTATTTGATCTTTAGGCATTACCTTAAATAGAGTTGTTGTTCTGAGTGGCCTGGGTAATATTTATCTCAAACACTTGTATGATTAATAGGTATTCTTTTATGTTGCTATCTGTGGAAACTTGCTCTGTACATATTGACTGCCACTTTTGTACATTGTACCTTTTTTGAATAGTGTTTTGAGATGTCTGGTGTTTCCTTTAAGTATTTGTGAACCTCAAACATTTCTACGACCTTCTTCATAAAATGAATGTCTATTAGGAAGAAAATGAAAATACATCCTGTACTGCACAGGAACATGTCATTTGGACCACCATATCTGTGCTGACCATGATACCATTCTAAACTAATCTCATCTGCCTGCATGTGGTCTGTATCTCTCTTCCCTGGTTGTTCACGTGCCTATGTGTTGAGGCAATACTGCTAACCAGTGTGCTCCCCTTGTCCAACCTCTCATTATAGTTAATACTCTACAATCCAGGCAACATCAGAGTAAACCTCTTCTGCACCCTTCCCAAAGCCAGTGTATCCTTCCTATCGTGTGGTGTCCAGAGCTGTGCACAGCACTCCAAATGTGGCCTGACCAAAGTCTGATACAGTTGCAACATGACTTGCCAACTTGATTAAAAATAGCTAGAAATCAGAAATGCAGGGAATACTCCAATGTGGCAGCACCTTCTGAGCAAAGGAGTTGTGCTCGCCATTCAGCTGAACTTGGCAACAAGACTAGCTGTCAATCTTAAATGGTGACCATTCCATCCACAAAGAAATATGTTGTCATCTACAGGATTTTTTTTTATTTTTGTGGAATTTATTGTTATATTCTATAAAGTTCTGTTCTGTTTTCTCTGCAGGAATGTAATGTTCAAGATTACAAATTTCTGGGTTCCCTTACTCCTAAATGCTGAACTGGCTTTCTTGTTTCATTGGGATGTAAGAACTAATTCCAAATAGATTTAGATTAAGAAAAGTTGAATTTGAAAAGCTGTATCCCAAAGACTGCAGCAGAACACTTTTTTTCAATTTATAGAAATTGACTACCCAAGAACTAAATGTTTAGGAAACAATTGAAGTGAGCAGGTTTCTTGATGGTATAAGTTGGGTGGAGACACAGGAGGCAGTAGAATTTGTGCAGATTATCTTGGGTTTTTTTAAGATTAAACTCTGAATCTGTCATTTTTGTTTTTCAGCTAAAATCTAACCCCAATGAGAAAGAAGAAAATGAAGCAAAGTCCCAATTAACTAAAGCAGATGAACTACAACGGATCATTATGCAGGCGCAAACTGCATATGAAAACCAGGATTACATGGCAGCAATTGAATTCCTAGACACTCTTATTGAGGTAAGCTTTAGCTATATTTCTTTACAAGATAAAGATGTATATTTGGCTAGTTGTAATCTGTTCCACTAGTTTAACATTACTCTGGAGGAGTACAGTGCCGAATTGGGCTCTGCAGTACAGAAGTGTGCATTTCTCTGATTTCCATTACCTGGTAATTCATAAGTCAGAAATTCACAGTATGATTAAATGTATTATTTTCTCATTTTGACCCTTGTCACATTGTGTAGCGAAGGAACAGTGCACTCTATTGAATTGAATGAAACCTTTCCCCTCAACATCGTCCGTCAAATGTCCTTTTGGTCATATTGCATTGCTTGCTGCTTTTCTGGAATTATGCTGTAAGTTTGTTTAACATGTCTACTCCTGAAAGCCAATTTTAAACAATTTTCATTTTATAGCCTTAACCTTAAAAGAATCCCCTCTTAACCATTGTACAAATTCACCTTGGTGATATTGCATCAATACATCTGTCTTTTTTAACTTACTGCCTGATGGTCTGGCATTTATCAGCTCAATTTTAACATCTGACATTATCTCCCAAGGCATTTATCCAGTCATCTTTCACTTTACAGGTTAAGCTATTACACTTTTTTTAAAATCTAGAAGTTTTATAGGTGGGTAATTTAGCTGTAGCTCTGACTTAGCATGGTGATGAGCAATGTAAAAGTTTTATCCATTTTGTGGAGCTAGCTGCTGTAACTACCTCAAAATGGGGTCACTAGTCCTGTTTTGTTTATACTGATTTATCTGGTGCCTATTTGAAAGGAATATGCAGCTGGGTGCTTTTAAACTGCTTTCCTCTGAGGTACAAAGATCCACTTCAGTTTTCCTAAGGATTGCAGGAAGCCAGTTGCTATGTTTGGTTGGAAATTTATAGGACCTTGCACACTCTGCAAAATTTTTGGGTGATAGAGAAGAAAAATCCAAATTGCTTAAGTTGCTCCTACCTATCTTTCTGTGTAAGAGGCAGGTGTGCGTCATATCTCCTATCGTCATCCTCACCTGGAAAGTTTGTCCAGCCTCGCGTAGGGTGCTTCAGTCCGTCAGCTAGATGCAGCTATGCAGTGCCTTTTTTTTTTAATAGATGACCTTTCCCAAAGTGTCTTGAATGTTATGAAACACAATTTAACATAGGGCCACCTGAGGACAGATTGTGGCATATCTTCCAGATGGAGATGGATAGAAAATTGGAGAGGTCTGGGAGGTAATTATAAAGCTAAGGATGCAAGGGGTTGAACACAGACTTCTATTAGTGGAACAGTTAAAATTTCTCTAGGTTGTGCAAGAGGCCAGGATTGGAGGAGCATAGTGATCTTTAAGAGTTGTAAGGCTAGAGATTAAAGAACTAATGAGGGGTAAGGCAATGAAGGAATCTAAACCAAAACTAGAATCTAAAATTGTGGTCTTGCCAAGTCAAGAGCCCCAGTAGTGTTGGGGCAGGGTGCTGTCAATAGATACAAGTTAAGGCATCAGAACTGTGCATGCGTGTGAGAGATACAGTGGACAAGATTAACTGCATTATTACCTTATAGTCTCATGGTGTTTGTGTATATGTTTCCTCCAGCAGTTGTTTCCATATTGCTGTCACTCTCTTGCTTTTTGTGCATGTTCTCTCACTTCTCCTGTATGTACACTTAGTGGTCATGCTCTGGTGTACTGGATTGTTTTGTTTCCTTGGTCTGCTCTCCATTCTTCTTCCAATGAATATCTGTCAGTACACCATCCTGCAACCCTGTATAAATTTGAGCTATTCTAAAACGCTGCTGCTTGTGCCCTATTTTAGCTTTCCTTTTTGGCTTCTAGACCAGCCCAGATTTAAAGTTTTTAAATTTCTTCATGGCCGACCCCCTCCTATTTGCATGGTTTCTTCCAGCTCTCCTGTCCTTGTCTTTCCTCTGAATTCATGTAATTACTGCATCATGCATCCCTTTTTTCACTTGTCACCATTAGAAATCTCCAATCATATCACACTTGGCCCAGCATTAGTTACACAATTAATTTATTCCTCATTAGGAAACCTATTTTTAAAGATCCTGTATACCATAGAACACAGCATACAGGTTGGCTCAATATAAGAATCTTTTTACCTCCAGAATCATGTGTTTTCATGTGTTCAGCATATTAAATTGACTGCTCTTTTCAGCCATAACATGCTGCATTTGTATTAGTAGTCAACCTTAATTTTTGACCCCCACAAATGTGGGTTTGCTGACTGGCACATCACTCGATGCAAGGGATCAAAAGCTAATAGAGCAGGAGTTCAAAAATGCTCAAGCTGAGCAGATCTTGCATGGCAGCTTTTTAACAATACAGCTGATAAACAAGGTGACCTCTCCACTCCCAAGACATGAACATGCTATGCATGCAATTGTTTTTTGCGTGATCTCTTTGAGGCGTCAAAGGTCAATTTCTATAATGACATCTACGGTAAATGCAAGTTGTTCCCTTAAGTTTCGCAAAGCATATTTAAACAATTTAGCACTAAAGGTCTATGTGTGTCTGTCTGTCTTCTGCAACAGACATGTATTTGGGATTCTGAGTTGCGAGAACTCCGTGCAGAATGCTACACACAGATTGATGAAAGTGGAAAAGCAATAAGTGACTTGAAAGCAGCATCAAAACTTAAACATGACAACACTGAAGCATTCTACAAAGTCAGTATAATCTATTACCAACTTGGAGACCATGAAATGTCTCTTAGGCAAGTATCCTACCACTTTTTCTTTAATCTCCTATGATTTTTGAACTACAAATCATTGTCTTTGTGAGGATTGTTGACTTTGCATTTTTTGTTTATCTGGCTTGTAAGCCATTTGTAAATTGTTTGTATTTTGAAGGCAGTTAATGTAAAATATTTTATGGATTAATTCTCATATCGAGGAGAAATCTAGAATTTCAAGTTGCTTCCTTTTTTTTGAAGCATCTAACAGGTAATTGTTGGAGTTTAGTAGTTCTTAAGCATTCTTGTATTTTTTTGCTGAAAGGAACATGAGAAGCAGGAGTATACTGAACAACCTGTGGAGCCAACTATCATTCATTATGATCATGGCTGATCTTGGGCTTTAATCCCACTTTGTTGCCTGCTCCCCCATGTCCCTCAACTCAGATTAAAAATCGGTCTTGACCTTGAATGTATTCAGTGACTGTGCACACAACCTCCTGAGATATAAATTTCTAAATATTCAATTCTTGAGTCCACCTCCTAAATAATGGACCCCTCTCCTGGGATGCTGTTTCTCCTTGTTCTAGATTCCCTAGCCAGGGTAAGTAACATCCTTATTTTCAGTATCTTTGTCTTCAACAACTTGTATGTCTGAGATCCCCCTCATTCATCTTTCCACAAAATAGGGAGCCAATTTCCTCCACTTCTCCTCATAAGACAGTCCTCTTCTCTCAAGAACTAATCTAGTGAGTCCTTTTTCTATCCCCCCCTCTTTCCCCCAGTGGGGCTTGAGGGGAAGATGGCAGATGATGGGATGTGTTTTTGCTTAGTGAGTTATGACCTGCAGTCAACTCCTTAAGAATCGGGGAGTAACATCAGAAGATTGTGCTGCTTGGATCTGGTGTAGAGTCACCTGATCCAGTGTGAGACTGCAATGCTAAATATAAGTACTGGCCCCATTAGCTAAACAATGTGAAAGGAGAACGACTAACTTAAAATGGGAGCTTGCTGGAAAGTGCATGAAACAAAGTAAAATCTCTCCAGGTTATTGCCAAATGTTGTCAGAAAATAAACTGTCACTAAGCCTCAATGAGTTCTGGAGAAAGTATTACAGAAATAACAATTTTAAACTGCCTAGAAATGTTGTTATAGGAAGTAAGGAACTATATGTTCTGCGGGATCTTCACTATTTTGAATAAAGCTGTCATTCTGAAATTCTATATATAGCAAATACAAAGCAATTGTACTGCAAATGTGTGTTCTTCATGAAATATTAGTTTGGTTTGTTTTAAGCCAATCCAATATTTGTCATCTTTCAGTTCAGAGTGTAAGAGGTTGGGATAAAAATAGACATTAAACTTGTTGTGATGGATCTGAGCCCAACTGTTTCCATTGGTCACACCATTCATTTTCCTTATTTTCCTGTTCCTTTCTGGAAATAATATTTGCCTCACTGAACATTTGCCAGCTTTGCAGTGACATTTTTTGTTTCATGTATAGTGAAATTCGAGAATGCCTGAAATTGGACCCAGATCATAAACTCTGTTTTGCCCATTATAAGCAAGTGAAAAAACTCAACAAGCAGCTGGCAACTGCAGAAGAACTGATAAAACAAGAAAAGTAAGAAATTTTTAAATTGCTGTAATTTTGATTATCAAATAGTGGTATTGTGCTAATCACCATGTGGTCCCCTCCACACTGGGGAGACAAAATGCAGATTGTAGGTGTCCAAAAAGCATTCACCCATTCTGTCTGTCATTTAATCTCAGACATAGTTATGTGATAATATTCCCACATGTCTGAGATAGTAGGAGCATGTCTACCTGTGCCCTTAGGCTCATTGCATGCAAATGAGTTCCATTTAGATTTGTTAGACTTAGGCACTTTATTATCTGGCCAGTGTTTCCTCTGCCTTCAAGACATGCTGCTATGTAATACCATTTTTGGCCTTATCCCTTCTGAGCTACTTGTCAAGAAACCATATTCTCCTCCCCCACCCCGGGCAATCCAGATGACTTTATAAAGCCTTCCTGCAAGCAAGGTAGCCCCGCTCCTCCTGTCTCTGGGATTTGCATCATCCTCCTGCACTATCTTTGATCCTTCAATTTGAAGTGCATTATTTGCAAACTAACACTTTAGGGACATTATTTGGCATACCTTTCTGGTAACAATATATAGTCTCCATAAATGAAAGGTTCCTCTGCTTATCACAAGGAATACAGAAAATATTGCTTCCAATTCTTAATACAGTGTAAGTGTTTTATTTCCTGCCATAGATACTCTGATGCTGTCAATAAATATGAAACTGCTATGAAAACTGAGCCAAACGTTCTGCAGTATATCTTGTATGCAAAAGAGAGAATTTGTCATTGTTTATCAAAGGTAAGAATTTTAGTTATTTGGGGTTTTAGTTTTGACTGTGACGGATGACAATTCTGTTTTGCTGAATAGGCCATGTAAATTTTATTCACTTCAGTCTCCCATTTGCAAGTAATGTAAATCTAGCTGCAGTTATATCCAGGTTTTTTCCTTCAAGGATAATTAGTGAGTGATTCTTGAAGATAGATAGTATTCATTAAATAGTGCCATGCTGTTATCCCTTGTTTAGAACCAACAAGGAAAAGAAGCCATAAAAACTTGCACAGAAGTATTGCAGCAGGATGCCAACAATATAAATGCATTGAAGGACCGAGCAGAAGCTTACATTTTAGAGGAGCAGTATGAAGAAGGTACTTTGTTTATTTTGTCACTGTGTTCAAATTTTAAAATCTCATTCATTCCTTTTTGAACTGGCTTTGAAACAGTTAGGAAACCTTGTACACTTCTACGCATCTTGATCTTTACAGTTGGTGTAACAATAGTCCTATCCTCAGTTTTGTAAATGTTTATTTGGATAGTCAGTTTAAATTGGTTAGACTCTGCAGCTAAACATGAAGCTTACTTAATAAAAGTTTGACAGTTTGTGAATAAGCAGGGGAATCTCTAAGATGTGAATTTGGATGCAATGAATCCTTTTTGTCCTTCTGTTTTTTGCGTTGTTTTCTTGATGCAATACTTGCTTCAACCAGACTTAGTTTGTACTTAAGTCTTTAAGTCTGTCTGTATTTGCACGTATTTACATGAGTAGTCTGGTCCAGGAAGCATATATAATGTTACCCTAGTGACATTGCCGAATTTTCCCTTTGAATTTTTTTGCCTACCCCTACAGATGTTAACTTGTGCTGGGCTAAGCCCTTGACTGAGTTAAAAACAATGCTGGAAATCCTTAGCGGGTCATGTATCATCTCTGTTCAACTTTTTTTGGGTCTGCAATCACAGTTACTCTTGTGTCGATTTATAGCAATTTGAGTGTATTGAAATGCACCAGTTTAGATATGGTACATTGTTCTTTGCTACTTGACTAAAATGTATGATCCATGACAGATGAGTATCCTTCATTGATCCCAAATCCATTCTGTAAAATTTTGAGTAGGAGCAACACACTCCCACATCACTGATGCCTTGGTCATTTTTTGGTGGTCTCTTGATATCAACAGGACTTTTTTTTTTTTTGTTCTTGCCTTTGGACTGATGAAGGGAATGCTCAAGTCTCTACCCAAGGATCTTCTTACCCTTCCTCCCCACCTATCACTGTTAGTAGATGGCCAGTCTGCAAACTGGGATCTATGCTATGTCAATCCCTGTCGAAACCCTCTCAGCAGTTGACCATGGGACAGCTGTTCACAATATTGGATGACTGTCCCCTTGCCCGCCTCCCTTTTTGATTTGGTTTTCATTCCTTCTAAGAGCAAAACCTTTATTCATGCAGACTGTTGAACGTATGGGATAAGGTGGCAACTAATGGGAGTCATAACTTTAGTGATTCACACGTTCCAGTGTTTTTGTGTGCTAAACATTTGCTTGTTTTCAGAAAACTAATTATTAATGTGATAGATGTAAATGAGGTCTTGTGCTATACAGGAAATACCAAATATGGAATTTTTTCTATCCATTTGTGGGATGTGGGTGTCGCTGACTGGCTAACACTACTTGCCCATTCCTAGTTGCCCTTGAAGGTGGTGGTGAACTGCCGCCTTGAACTACTACAGTCCACCTGCTGTAGGTTGACCCACAATGCTATTAGGTAGGGAATTCCAGGATTTTGACCCAGCAACAGTGATAAATTTCTGAGTTGGAGGGGAACTTGGAGGTGGTGTTCCCATATGTCTGCTGTCCACTTCTAGATGGAAGTGGTGTGGGTTTGGAATGTGCTGTCTGAGGATCTTTGGTGAATTTCTGCAGTGTATCTTGTAGATACTACACACTGCTGCTACTGAGCGTCAGTGGTGGAGGGAGTGGATGTAGTGCCAATCAAGCAGGCTGCTTTGCCCTGGATGGTGTCGAGCTTCTTGTGTCTTTTTTGGGCTGCAATCATCCAGGCAAGTGGGGAGTATTCCACGTCACTCCTGACTTCAGCCTTGTGACTGGTGGACAGGTTTTGGGGCGTCAGGAAGTGAGTTGCTCGTTGTAAGATTCATAGCTTCTGACCTACTGTTGTAGCCACTGTTTGTGGTGAGTCCAGTTGAGTTTCTGGTCAATGTCAGCATCCTGGGGGTTATCAATGGGGGAATTTACCGATGGTGACACCATTGAATATCAAGGGGTATTGGTTAGATTGTCTCTTATTGGTGATGGTCATAGCCTGGCATTTGTGTAGCACGAATGTCACTTGCTACTTGCCAGCCCCAACCTGGACATTGTTCAAATGCAACAAGATCCGGACACGGACTGCTTCAGTATCTGAGGAGTCGTGAATGGTGCTGAACGTTTGTGCAATCATCAGCAAACATCCTGACTTCTGACCTGCTAATGGAGGGGAGGTCATTGATGAAGCAGCTGAAGATGGTTGGGCTGAGGACAGTACCCAGAGGAACTCCTGCAGAGATGTCCTGGAGCTGAGATGATTGACCTCCAGCAACCATAACTGTCTTCCTACATGTCCGGTATGATTCCAACCAGATGAGCATTTGTGTAGTGATACCTCCTGATTCCAGTTTCGTGAGGGCTCCTTGATGCCACAGTTGGTCAAATGCACCATTGATGTCAATAGCTGTCATACTTCACTCACCCTGGGAATTCAGCTCTCTTGTCCCTGTTTGAACCAAGGCTGTAATGAGGTCAGGAGCTGACTGGCCCTGGTGGAACCCAAACTGGGTATCCCTGAGCAGGTTATTGCTGAGCAGGTGCTGCTTGATAGCACTGATGACTCCTTCCATCACTTTACTGATGATTGAGAGTAGACTGATGAGGTGGTAATTGGCCAGGTTGGGTTTGTCCTGCTTTTTGTATACAGGACATATTAGGCAATTTTGCACATTGCCACTAGATACCAGTGTCATAACTATTCCAGGACAGCTTGGCTACGGGAGTGGCAAGTTCTAGAGCACAAGGTTTCAGTATTATTGCCGGAATGGTGTCCGGGCCTTAGCCTTTGCAGTATCCAGTGTCTCCAACCGCTTCTTCATATCATGTGGAGTGAATCAAATTGGCTGAAGACTGGTATCTGTAATGCTGCGGACTACTGGAGGAGGCCAAGATGGATCATCCACTCGGCACTTCTGCATCGTTTACACACGCTGATGTGTTGGGCTCTTCATCCATTTGAGGATGAGGATATTTGTGGAGCTGCCTCTTCCAGTGAGTTGTTTGTTTGTCCACCACCATTCACAACTGGATGTGGCAGAAGTGCAGAGCTTAGTTCTGATTGGTTGGTTGTGGGATCGCTTAGCTTTGTCTATCACTTGCTGCTTTTGCTGTTTGGTGTGCAAGTCGTCCTGTTTGGCTTCATTAGGTTGACACTTCATCTTCAGTTAAGCCTAGTGCTGCTCCTGGCATGCGCTCCTGCACACTCAATTGCTACTTGGGATCCCACCTAAACCTGTGTTCAGTTTCCAATACTATGGTGTGATAGAGAAATAGTTAATATTTCGGAATAAAAATGGAAAGAACTGCAGATGCTGTAAATCAGGAGCAAAAACGAAGTTGCTGGAAAAGCTCATCAGGTCTGGCAGCATCTGAAGAAAAGAAAACAGTTAACGTTTCGAGTCCTGTGACCCTTCCTCAACGGTGGAAGGGTCACGGGACCCGAAACGTTAACTGATTTCTTCACAGATCCTGCCAGACCTGCCGAGCTTTTCCAGTTAATATTTCGGCCTGTATTACATTTTGCTAGAATGTCACTCGTTTCTCTCCATGCACCAGACTGGCTGAGTATTTCCAGCAGTCTGTTTCATAATTCCAGCATTGTGTTTTTGTGTTGAACTCCTACTTTACTATTTACTGTTTCTGGAGTCAGTGTGGATGTGGTAACCTGTGCTAGGCTAATTACAGTTTAGTTTTTAATTCTGCCATTAACTGATAATTGTGTGTACTTGGGCAAATATCATCTGCTTTTTATTCCCTTCCTTTCTTCTGTTCCAGGTCAAAGAGTCATAGAACTACAGCATGGAAACAGACCCTTCCATACACCATGCTGACCAGATATCCTAGATAAATCTAGTCCGATTTGGCCCATACTCCCCTAACCTTTCCTATTTATATACCCATCCAGATGCCTTTTACATGTTGTAATTGTACCAGCCTCTACTGCTTCATCTGACTGCTTTGAGTGCTGAGACTGAGACTCCGTACTGACCCCATTCACACTGGAGCCAGAAACTTTACTCATTTGTAAAGTGCTGCTACAACTCCCAACTGAACCACTGAGGGGAGTCGTAGAGATTTACAGCACAGAGAAAGGTCTTTTTGGCTCATCACGTCTCCAGTGGTCAAAAATAACCATGAAGTATTCTAATCTCATTTTCCAGCCCTTGGTCCATAGCCTTGTGCATCACAAGGCATACAAGTGCACACTTAAAGGTTATGAGGGTTTCTGACTGCAAGGGTGGTAGAAGTAATGAGTTCCAGATTCTCTCTGCCTTCTGGTTGAAAAATGTTTTTTTTTTTCTTCACATCTCCAAACCTCCTGCACATACCGCTTAAATCTGTGCTCCCTGATCCTTGATCCCTCATCAAGGGGAAATATTGCTTCCTGTCTACCCTATATCCCTCAGTTTTATACATCTCAATTATGTCCACTCAATCTTTTTCTTCCTGTAAGGAAAACAACCTCAGTCTCCTCAATCTCTTCCTAACTGAAACTCTCCAGCCCAGGCAACATTCTGGTAAATGTCCTCTGCACCATGTCCAGTGCAATCGCAACACTCATAATATGGATTCCAGAACTGCGCACGTACACTAACCCTAAAGAAAGGCTAAAATATCTTAAACTACTTAATTAGCAAATAATTGATGTGTTCCTGCTATTTTGCTGGAGGTGTCGATTATCTTAAAACTGATTTTTTATATGGACAAGGCTGTTTAAGAATTTGAGGAAAATTAGCTGTCCACCATAGCTGCTTGGTATTGTCTGTTCCTTTTCAGTATGATATGTACTAATGGTGCCACTTGACAGTTTCTAGTTGAATGGAATGAGACAGGTCTCTGTTCGCAGTTCTGTTTTTGGGATTTTATTCTTCAAACCCCTGATCATTACCCTTGCTGTCGATTACAGAAGCTTACAAGATCAGGTAGCAAGTTCTACGATCTGCTGAAACTGAAAAGGAAGACAAAAATCTGCGTGTCTTGATTTAAACAGTACATACTGGCATGCTAGTTGTCATATGGAAACTTGGCCACAGGAAGTCCTGGGTTGTCTCTCCCACCCCTGTAACAACTACTGTGCTGTTGATATTTAAGGAAACAATATCTATGGGACAAGATGTCATATCCCTGTATCCTTGATCACACCAACTAACACCCTGCCAGAAATATTTAGCAAATTCTGCTACTGTGGGGCAATGATGATTAGATTGTCTCCGTCCTAAGAAGCAGAATTTAGTACTTGTACACAGAAAACATCTATCACTCCTCTTCAACTTGAGACCTGTATGAAATAGTTTCAAGAGATAACAAGGTGTAGAGCTGGATGAACACAGCAGGCCAAGCAGCATCAGACGAGCAGGAAGGCTGACGTTTTGGGCCTAGACCCTTCAGAAATGAAGACCATTTCTGACTCTGAAGACCAAAGAAAAATCCAAAAGAACTGCAGATGCTGGAAATCGGAAACAAAAACAGAAATTGCTGGAAAAACTCTGCAGGTCTGACAGGGTCACTGGATCTGAAATGCTAAATCTGCTTTCTCTCCAGAGATGCAGCCAGGTGTGCTGAGTTGTTTTTCAGCAATTTGTTTTCATTTCTGAGGACCAAGGTGCTGGTTTGAGGCTTGTTTTCTTAGTTCCTTGTGAGGCTGTGAAACGTGGACAGCTTTCAGATATCAAAGAAAGCTCAGCAACTTTAGTCTAAGCTGCTTGCTGCACCTTCGTGGCACGTCCTTAGTGGGACAGAATCCTGAATTTAGCAGATTACTGAAATAAATGTCCTGGGTGTATTGCTGTTCATCAGAGTAACTTTGGTAGTTTAGGCGTGTCCATAGGATGGAAGCCAGTCACACATCCAAAGATTTACTGCACGACTTGGTTAAAAGAAGCCTGTAACCAGTGGGATGCCCAAACCTCCATGTCACACTTGTAAGCGTCCTTGAAGTGAAGGGCGTCCTTTAACATTGGTGTTTACACCTGGGAGATAACAGCTGGTGATGCAGGTAAATGCTGATATTTTACGGATTAGCTTGTGCCACAATGGTATTGTTGGTATAAGTGGTTTGGCAGCAGGCACCAAGACTGAAATTGATGATGGCGACATCTAAGAACCACACTACATGCAGAACTTGTGTTGGAACCCCCTTCTCATGGATTGGTCACTTCAGATGTCAGCAAAAATGCAGTATACAAACGTACCAACAAGAGTAGGCCATTCACTCCCTGACTCTTGCTCTGCTGGCTAATCTGATCTGTAACCTCATCTGCATTCCTGCCAACCCCTGATTATCTTGTATTCTTGTTCAGCAAGGAAGCTATTTACCCCTGCCTTAAATATACTCCAGGACTGTGGAACTCTCCATGAAAAGGTGGTGAAGCAAAGATTCAAGAGCTTCACAGAAAATTTTCACCTGATCTTTGATTTTTAAGTAGGCAATTGTTGATTATTAAGTAGTGAAACCCTAGCTCTTGATCCTCCAACGAGGAAACATCCTTTCCTGCCAACTACTGTGCAAATATCCCTATATTTTAATCAAGCCACTGCTTGCTCCTCTAAATTCCAACAGATGCAAGCCCAGTCTGTCCAACCTTTCCTCATTGGATACCTAATTAGACTCTCCTCCCTCCCACCCACATGACCATATGAATTGCTCTTCTCTAAATAATTTGATTTGTTTCATGGCCTTTGTGTGCAGGTGAAAAGGATGCTGGTGTCATCCTTTGACACATGAAATCAAGAATGACTAAGTCACAAGAGAAGGTCATTTGGACCACCACCCTTGTGCTATCCCTCTGACACAGCAGTTTTCCTTATGCTATTCCCCATCTTTCCCTGTGACTGCCATTTTTACCTTTCTTAAATAATGATCCACTTCCCTTCTGATACTTGAACTTACTTCCAACGTACTCTGAACAGTACATTTCAGATCCTAACCACTCACTGCATGAAAGAGCTTTTCCCCCATGTTACCATTGCCTGTATTACAAAATACCTGAGATCTGTGAACCAGAAAGCACAATACTCCCAACAATGAAATGCTTCTCATTTTTTCACCCTGCCAGACCATTGGTGATTTTTGAATACGCGATCCTCACTTGCTCACTAACATTGCAAGGAAAGGATTATAATGTTCTGAATTCTGGCTTTCTCTTTCACCAACCTGCCTGTCTGATTGATTTACTTCAGAAGTACAATGGATAATGATGATGACTACTTTTTTAAACTTTTACTTTTGCCAACTGACATTAAGCAATTATAAACTAGTTTTTTTTCAACTGTAAAATAAACTACAGCTTGTCTTAAGCCCACTTAAGTGAGTAAGAGACTTAATGTTCAGCATGCGAAGAGTAAATTCTGATGTCTGTATTGTACAGCAATCAAAGACTACGAAGTTGCAAGAGACCACAGTGACCATGATCAAGAAATAAAGGAAGGACTGGAAAGAGCACAGAAACTTTTAAAACAGTCACAGAAAAAAGATTACTACAAGATATTAGGAGTGAAAAGGTATTTACCAAAATATTTGCTAAATGGTGCAGTATCTAAAGATCCTGAATCTGGAGTAAAGTAATTGAAAATCTCTGCTTAACCTACAAGTTAAAATTAATAACTAATTCAATATGTCCATAGCCTATACCATTATTACAGTATACATGGGTTTCTTTATTTACTGACTGTGGCAATGTATTAAATGATGATGCTTTAAGACAATGTATTTTAAGTGTAGGAATATTCTTTGAGCACGTATTCTGAACTGTTCCAGCTTTTACTTTTCATGATCGGCTGAAATGTGGAACAATCTAACCTCCATTCTTTCAGATAGCTCAGACCCAGTCAATATTTCTGGATATAGATGTTGTACAGAGGACCTCCAAAAGATGATAAGTGTAGTTTCTGTAAACTTTTGCCATTTTCAGAAGTGCCAAAAAACGTGAGATTATAAAAGCATACAGAAAGCTCGCAATGCAGTGGCATCCTGATAACTTCCAGGAAGAAACTGAAAAGAAACAAGCAGAAAAAAAATTCATTGACATAGCTGCTGCTAAAGAAGTGCTCACTGATCCAGGTATGGAGCAGCCTTTTTATTGCTTTTCTTTAATTGCAGAATAAATTATTGACATTCCATTTCAATATGCAGTAGAAATTTTCTCTGGAGTCTATAAAATTCATGTTTGAAGTGCAAATATTTATTTGCTGCTATTGTTGAACCTGTAAAGAGGTGCAGATATCAGCCATCTGCAACAGAATGGACCTTTTTAATTGGAGAAGTGAGAGATTAGGAAGAGATAATTAACTGTTACATATTTAGTGTGCAGGGGCAAGGCCTGAGGTGTACAATCTTTAAAGAGGGCAGCAATCATATCACATTGTAATTAGCAAAGCATGGGGAAATCTGGAGCTTCATATAAAAGGTGTTTGAGTGCAAAAGCAGCGAAGTTATGCAGAATCTTTATAATACTCCAGGTAGGCTACAATTAGATTGGGGCACCCTGAATCTGGTCACCGTGGTTGAGTAGGATGTGAAAATCCTCGAGAGGATGCAGAGGAGTTTCCAGAATGCTTCCAGGGATGAGGTATTTTAGCTACAAATTGAATTTGTCAATGCTGGGTCTATATTTATGGAAGGAGATCTGTTTGAGGTACACCACTTCAGACAAAATAGACAGTTATTTCCAGAGTTAGGATACCATTTAGCCCATCTGGCCTGCACTGGTTCTCCCGATTTTGAGAAATCCCCTCTGTGCAGGGTTGCATGGAGATGACACTTTCCACAGCCGCCTCCATCTAATTCCCTTATGCTTCTGTTGAATCTGTCTCCATCACAGTTTCTGACAGTTAGTTAGTGTTCTCGCATGCTGTATAACTTCCAAGTGACAACAATTTCTAAGTAACTATTCTGTTCAGATTCTTCCTGATTTTGAATGCCTGTATCAAATGTCCTCTCAGCTCCCTTCTCCAAGAAAAATTGTGCCCAATTTCTGCAATTTGCCTTAACTGAAGTTCCTCATGCCTTGAACAATTAATTTTAATGCTCTCACGTGTGCTACTTCATATCCTTTATTGTCATCGTGCTCCACTATTTCACAAGCTATCACAAAATGTATGAGACGAACTCAGGCCTCCAATCTGCCAGACCGACTATTATTCAGGACAAAAGCATTTCATACCAGGTTTTGTAGAACGTGACAGCCCTTTGGCCTACATATCTGCACCACTCGTAATACCATTCTAAACTAACCCTGTTTATGGTCCGCACCCTTTGCCCTGCCAAAAAAGCCTTGCCTCACATATCTCCTTTTTAAACTTCTATCAGGTTGCTTCTAGCCTCCGATGCTCTCTCAAAAATAATTCCAATTTGTTCAACCTCCTTTTTAGAGCTAATGCACTCCAATCCAGGCAACATCCTGGTAAACTTCTCATTTGCACCCTCTCCAAAACCTCCATGTCCTTCATTTAGTGTGACCAGAGTGGTACACAATACTTTGCCATTAACAGAAAATAACTTTGTTAAAGTTAAGTGTTAAAAACAGGAAAAAATATTTCTAATTACCTCTGTGCAACTTAGTTTATATTCCTTTTTAAAAAGCTCAAATATATACTCACTCTCTATTGATCTCAGGCAAAAGACAAATGATCTGGCACCTCGGGTGGGAGAAAAAAGATGGACAACAAAAATTCTTAAGACCACCAATCCAGAACACAAGCGTGGGTTAAACAGTCTTTGTTCCTTTTTTGAGTTTTGGCATTAATTTGTTTGAAGTGAGTTCTCTTCCACATTGATACTTGATTCAGTTAACCCAGGAATCAGTTAACCCAGGACTTGAAGTTTGTTTTTAGCTTCCTTGTTTTGTTTACACCCGCACAGAGCGACAGAGACTTTGTTTTTATTGGCTCTTAATTGCCTTGCACCTATGGATTTGTGGCAAACTAAAACTTGACTAACGGAAGGGCTGTTGGTCTTTAAGACAAAGTGGCACCGAAGTCTTTGGAAATAAAGTCTCAGTTTCAAAAAAGTAACATTGTCTCTACAGTTGAAAATGTACATGACTTCATATTTTCAAGTTGGAAAACTTTGGTATTTCAGCAGTAATAGCAAGTTAGTGTCCTGAGAGGAAAAGTGCGGTCCCTTACACTTTGTAAAAGCAAGATGCCCATAACTGAACACAGTATACTTGTGCTGAGGCTGAACTAGTGTCTTGTGCAAAATCATTTTCTTGCTGTTGTACTCTTGAGCCCTTATTATTAAAGCCTAGGACACTTCATTTAACCACAGTCTCAACCTACATCCATCAGTGATTTTATGCACCTCCTCTGGAATTGTGCTATTATTTTGTGTTGTTTACGTTCAACCTTCTCATCTACAATCTGTTTTGTTGGATTGTACTGTTGTATAATATGCTGCTTACTGTTGTTCAGCATTCATGTAATTCAGGGTTGTACCTTCACCATGTTGGTGTCTCATTTTTGAGATGCCTTGAGCGTCTTTCTGTATATTTATTCCCAGATTACGATGAAATTTACCCTGCATCAGATTGCAACAGCGCAGAAATAGGCAATTCAAAGTGTTGTATTGATGTTGCCTCTCTGCAAGAGCAACTTTTAGTTCCAGTGCCTTGATCTTTCCTGTTATCCTGCAAATTATCTCAAGGCAATTATCCAATTCCCTTTTGAAAGCCATGATGAATCACACTCCATACAGCATGGTGGAGGCAAAGTCCACCATATACTGCACAACCAAATATGACAAGATGAAAACAAATATTTTCCCCCATTTAAAAACCAAAAGAATTGCGGATGCTGTAAATCGGGAACAAAAACAGATGTTGCTGGAAAAGCTCAGTAGGTCTGGCAGCATCAGTGAAGAGAAAATTAGTTAACATTTCAGGTCTGTTAGAAGGGTCACATGACCCAAAGCGTTAACTCTGATTCTCTCTTCACTGATGCTGCCAGACCTACTGAGCTTTTCCAGGTAGTCTTATTTTCCCCCTGTTGCTGTGCTCCTAAGATAGGTGGTCAAGCACCAGAAAGCACTAACTGTGGAAACAGTCTCCCTTTTTTATCTGCTGTATCCAGACCCACAGTGATTTGGAATACCTAAAAGTTCAAGGCGAAAGTGAGGAAGATGAGTTTTTTTTTGTAATAAATCCACGCTGACTTTTTTAAGGTTGCGCGGTTGTCTGGTGTCTTTTGGCTTTCTGTCCACTTTTTGAGCATTTTTCTTCTCCCCTTCCTTCCCCACTCCCTTTTTGGCCTTCATGTTAGTGGCAATCTCATAAATGGCATTACTGAGACCAGCTTCTTGCTGTAGGATTGTTCAAAATATCCCAGCTGCTGCGGTGGGATTTGAATAAATGTCTTCACAGCATTTGTCTAGGCTTTTGGTTACCAGTCTAATAATGTGACCACTATCGTAATGTTGTGCTAATTGTAGATGACTAGGGCTAGGGCACGGGAGAGTTTAAAAATTATTGAACTCCTGTATTGAGTCCAGAGAGCTGCAGGGTCCCCAAGTGGAAAATGATATGTTGTTCTTCCAGCTTGTGTTGAGCTTCGCTGGAACACTGCAGCAAGCCAGAGACAGATGAATAACTATTCACCCTCCCAGTTATCAACTTCGTTGTCTGTCCAGCTGTTCTCTCTCGAGGCTCTATCCTATGGTTTACTCCCTACTGCAACCCCCTGCTTATTTTCTGCATATAAACTGACATTTTCCCAGCTACCATCAGTTCTGAGGAAGGGTCACTGGACTGATTTTTTTTTTTTTCCTTCACAGATGCTGCCAGACCTGCTGAGCTTTTCCAGCATCTTCTGTTTTTGTGTCATCACAACCTGTTTGGCTCACTTCTCTTTAAGGAGAGAAACTGCTATCCTTTATCTGCGTGTGATTCCAGACCCACAGCAATGTGGTTGACTCTTAACCGCCCTCTTGGCAGTTAGGGCTGGGCAGTAAATATTCAGCCAATGATGCTGTCATTCAGAGGATGTATTTTTTCTTTGGAACAAGATTGAATTTTGGAAGATTTGATAATGTTGAAGATAACTTCTGATAGGCTTTTGTAAGGTAGAAAACAAAGCTGTTAGATTTGGCTGATTGCACAAAGACTTGCACCTATTTCTTATCAAAAGCTTATGGGGGATGGATAGTGAGGCAGAATTAGCTTGTGCAGCAAATGATCTGGCATTTGCTGCCTCCAGGGTGATGTAAGTGGAGATGACCAATAAAATCAAAAGGAAACTGGGTGGCACTTCAAGGAAATAGATTTTCAGGGCTGTGGGGAATGGGGCTAACTGGATTGCTCTTCAGAGGTGACATGGACACTGGATGGCTAAATAGCCACTGTTTATCTGTCAATACTCTAACCTTATGCTAATGTTTTTTGTTTCTTTTGTAATAGAAATGAGGAAGAAATTTGATTCTGGGGAGGATCCTCTTGATCCAGAAAATCAACAAGGTGGAGGTGGTCACAGTTTTCACAGATCCTGGAACCAGTGGCAAGGATTTAATCCTTTTGGCTCAGGAGGACCTTTTAATTTTAAATTCCACTTTAACTAAGTCTTGAGTATCATCTACTCATTTCTATAAAGACTTTATAGAACAGAAATATTGAATGTGATTCCAGAAACCCAGATCTGAAAGTTTAAACAGTGTAACTTTGTTCAGCCAAAAATGTTCAGAATGTAGTATTTTTCACTTTTGAATGAGCTTTGAAATATTTTCATTAAACCTAGAGATGTGATGTACACTTCTAATAAAGCAGATTGCCTTAAATGTTATTCCTCCATAAATATTTATCATTCTCTTGCATGGGTGAGGTCTAAAGCCTCTAAGAAAAGAATTGTGATAACAGCAATTTTGTATCGTTAAAATTGGCCGTATATAATTTTCAGTGGCATGAGACTGGTTTAGTAGCTTTAAATGACACGTATCTGATCTTGTTACTTTAATTTTCATGTTATGGGACTGTTGCAAATTCATGGAATTGAACTTCTACGACTTAAGATAATTAGAACATTTTTTTGAATGTTGTAGGACCTGTTTTAAACACGTTGATATCCCATTCACTATTTGATCCATTCTTATTTGCTTCTAACTATATCGGAAGTGGACACTAGAATGGTTGTATCCAGGAAAAAATAAGTTGTTCCCTCTAGCGAGTGACGATACAAGTGAGTATGCTTTCTGGTAAAGCCATTTTTTATAATTTTGGAAATCCGGGGATTTGAATATTTGAAATGCTAATTCCATATTGTGTCTAACACATTATGTGTTGAACTTAAAGGCATAATCTATAGACTTATTAAATAATACATACTGTTTTGAAAATGAATTTTTGTAATTAATCACTTTAAAGATTTCAGGCATGTCTTGACTGGAATTAGCCTCCCCATTTCAGTTATAACTCACTTATTCTTTACATAAAATATTCATTCATCTCCATGGAGTGAGAGAGTACCCAACTCCTCCTCCTTTTACGTGTGGCTTGTTTAATGATGGAATAACATTTCTGATCACAAATGACCTTTTCAATTTTGACATGTTGATTTCTTTTAGAAGTTACTAATGCTGTACTTTTAAAAAACTTTACTGTAGAGCTTCTCTATTTGATAGAAAAATGAACTCCTGAAGGCTGTCTTGCAGCTCTATTTTCTATTCTAGTAACACGTCAGAAAATGCAGTTTTAAATGTATATCTTTTTTTAGACCATCCATGATTGCTGAACATGCGAAGTTATGGTGCAGACTCTGCACTAATGTGTAGATTTGGATGCTAATTTTTGACATTGATACATAAGGAAGTCTTGTTTTCATTTTTGCTATCTTTGGGGCAGACCCTGTGATATCAGAATCTGCTGTTAGTTGTATCCTAAAAGTTGTTAGATGGAACTTGAAATACTAAATACTAATAATACATTTCTTGCCTGTTTGTACCGGGGTTAGAGTGGGATATATTTCTGTCTTGTTTAGCAACTTTTATTTTTTTGCAATAGCATAGACTCTTTTTTTTTCAGGTGAATACCAGATTGATATTTTGACATCTGGCATCTCACGTGTGTTGACTTTAATGTTACAGATGGGCTTTTAATATCTAGAATCCGACTAGTATTCCATTTCCATTACCTTCAAGGCCAACTGTTCACTGTTTGCAGATCAATGGTGTGTTTCTTTCTGACAAGCACTACTGAAGTCTGGAAATAAAAATACTAGTTAATAGAAATACCCTCAAGTTACACAGTACTTATTTGGAGAGAAATTCATGTTGGAGTTGAGGATTTTGTCATCAATGGAGCTCTGCCTCTAACCAAATGAATGGAGATTTTGATAAGCAAAATAATGCGTGTATGGTTAGGTTAAAAAATGATTCAGAACCAAGTTGAATACAGAAAAACCAAAGGGATGGTGAAAATGCAAATAAATGATGCAAAGAGGGAGCACAAAGAAACTGGCCAATGTAAAAGGGAATCCCAAAATCATAGAATATAAGAGATGTAGAAGGACGACGCACAATCGAAGACCAAAATGAATTTGCCTGTGGAGGGTCATAGAGTAATAATTAGTCATACAGCACAAAATTTCAGTTTGGCTGTTAAGTCTATGGTGACCTATCTACACTAATCCCACTTTCCAGCACTTAGAGTCATTAGAGATGTACAGCACAAACAGACCTTTCAGTCCAACTTGTCCACGGTGTCCCATTTGCCAGCATTTGGCCCATGTCCCCCTCAAACCCTTTCTCTTCGTATACCCATCCAGATTCCTTTTAAACGTTGCAACTGTACCAGCCTTCGCCAGCACCTTTTAGCAGCCCATTCTATACGTGCAGCACCCTCTGCATGAAAAAGTTGCCTTTTGGTTATCCATGCCCCTCATGAGTTTCGTCGCCACTCAGCTTCCGATGCTCCAGGGAAAGTAGCCCCAGCCTATTCAGCGCCTCTACTACAGCTGAAACACTCCAACCCTGACAACATCTCTGTAAATCTTTTCTGATTCCTTTCCCTGCTATAGCAGGAAAACTAGAACACAGCACTCCAAAAGTGGCCTAACCAATGTCCTTGGCCCATAACTTTGAATGTTTTGATGTTAAATGCTCATCCTCATACTTCTTGAAAATGAAGCTTTCCTGTCTCTACTACTCTTCCAGGCAGTGTGTTCCAGATTCCCACCACCCTCTGGCAGAAAAGGCTTTCTTCCCAAACCCATCTAAATATCTTGTCCCTCACCTTTTTAAAATTATGGCCCTTCATTGAGGAATAGTTCCTTCTGACCCACCTTGTTTATGCCGCTCAGTGTTATACACCTAACTCAGGTCCCCTATGAGCCTTCTCTGTTCTAATGAAAACAACCCGAGTCTATCTAGCTTTCCTTCAATGCTAAAATGCACCAACCTAGGCAACATCCTGGTGAATCTCCAGTGCAATCCCATCCTTCCAATACTGTAATGACCAACTGTGGCTTAACCAGTTTTGTATAGTTCCAACATAACCTCCCTGCTTTTAATCCAATGCCACAACTGATTTAAAAACAAGTGCCCATATGCTGCCTTAACTACCCTGTTAACTGGTCCTGTCACCTTTCAAGGGATCTGTGGACAGGCACCCCAAGATCACTCGTTCCTGAGCTTCCTAGTGTCCTTAAATTTACACGATCTTTTTTCTCTTGGTAAAGACAGATGCAACCCAGGTCATCTTGCAACAAGAGGTAGTTCAATAACTAGAAAGGTTTACAATTGATAAATGTTGTATATACTGTCTGCACTTTGAGGAACCAGGACAAGATGAGATGCATTCATGGATATTGATTGCAGAGAGACTGGCAATTTTCTTTCTTTTCAGTTTTCCCAAGATCTGGATGTGCTAAAGGACTGGAGCATTTCATTGGATCTTTTGGTCACTTCAGTTAAAACCATAATAATTGATCAGTCTGGGTTAAATTTAGTTCCTGGATGATACAGAAGTAACTGTGCTAACCTGCAATGTGATAGCTCATTTTCTAGTTGTTGCCTTCTTTCATAACACTTTCCTGATCCAAATTCTGAAATGAATTAGCAATGTTTCCAGGTGATCAACTTGATCATATGTCTCAGTTAAGTTACAAAAAAGTGTGGACTTTCCTGGGAGCAAAGAGTAAAACCTGAACTTGCTTGACTTAAAGTCATGGTCTTTACCTTTTTGATTCTCCCTACCAAAGTGCAAACTATTTAAATGGAGAGAGACTAGAAGAAAGTAGGTCATATGCTTGGTGGATACTGCTGCTTTGCTGCAAACAGTAACAGCAAAATGTTAATTGGAAAAATACTGCCCTGTTCAGATTATCTTGCTTTCTCCCTCCCCCATTGTGCAACTACGGTTCCGAATAGGTATGTAAACTATAACCTGCCTTTTTAATTTTCACAGCAAAATCCTATTGTCGCAATTTGTTTCTATCCTCCTCGTACGTCATCATAATCGCTCTCTTCCGTCTCCAGGCAGTAGTTGTAGGGAGTATGATATCCTTGTTACTTTGCTTCTTCTCACTGGTCTAGCCAGCACCATGCTGTAGCAGGCATTTACTAATGTGGAGTGAATCACTACCTAAACTGAAACACTTGGGCAGAACAAAACTATATCAAAATGGTAGCTCAGAGTAGCCATTGTCCTCCTTCTGCAGTAATTGCTTGTAATAGGATCTTGGTTGAGGGATATGCTGGACTATTTTGAGCTGTTGGATATGTGAATCAATTTCTGTAGCACAATGGAAAGTATCCTCAGTGTGAAAATGCAATGTTATCTTTGAATTGGTCAGACGGGTGCATTCTCTCCCTTTTGTAGGAGAGTCTAGGACCAAGGGAACATAATCTCAGCAGAAAGGTGACCAGTTTATTTTTGAAGGTAGCAAATTTGTGGAATTTTTTTTAAACTAGAGGCCAGTCGACGTTGGGTCACTTATTCAAGGCTGAGATTTTTCATCAATAAGGGATTTGAGGGTTATGGGAAAAGGGCAGAGCCATCGAAAGGTAGAGCAACATGATGATAAGCTAAATGGCCTAATCTCCTCCTGTGTCTTATGATCTCAGATTCACAAGATGACCCAAAGAGAAATAAAGACTCATTGCTGAGTGTCTAGATCACAGTGGGAAAGAACTTTCAAACAGAGGGCTAAAGTGTTTTGGAAACTGTATGAGGTGGAGGTGCTGTTGTTTGGATTAGGTGGACAAAATCAGAAGTCACAACACCAGGTTTAGTCCAACAGATTTATTTGAAATCACAAGCTTCTGGAGCACCGTAGGTGAAATGATGAAGGAGCAGCTCTCTGAAAACTTGTGATTTCAAATAAACGTGTTGGACTGTAATCTGGTGTCATGTGACTTCAGAAATTGCATGGTGTAGGCGTTCGCCTTAAACCCTTCAATGGATAATTACAATAAAGAAATTTTGGAACACAAACCAAAATCTTCATCAGAATGATAATCTGGTTGTCTTAATGCATAATAAATCCAAATTTAGCCTGATTATTGGCAGACTTCAAATCTATTTGGAAGTAACTCATTGGCCTTTGTAGAGTTTCAGGGAAAGTACTGCCATATAATTCAATTCCACAGTTTATCAAGCTGATGTTCCTGGACATGACATGCTTTCACTGGTAAACCTGTCCACAAATTGTAATTTGCCTTGGTGTGGAATCATACTTTGTCCAAACCAGAGAAAACCTGTACATTTCCTCCCATTTAAAAAATATCAGGGAATCAGTTAGGTTTTTGTGGAATTCCTGATATCTTCATGGTCACCATTGCTGATTTT